GAAACTGTGGATCTGCAGCAAGACTGCTTTTTTATATCAGGACAGACTTGAGAAACTGCATGTTGCTTCTGGTGTGAGAGAATCGGTAGTCTGAAAAGATGCTTCCCAGGGGACGCCAGGATGTTTTGATGTTTTACCATCATTTGTGGGAGGCTTCTCTCATGTCCCCGCATAGGGAGCCGGAGCTGACAGAGGGAGCTCATCCGCACTCTCCCCGGATTCGAACCTGTGACCTATCGGTCTTCAGTCCTGCCGGCACAAAGGTTCAACCCACTGCACCATCGGGGGGTCCTTAGCCAGACTGCTAACAGGAGCAGTTATAAGAGAACATACTACTTCACTCTTGAAACAGCTTCACTAGCTGCTGAATAGTGCCTTGGCCCGATTCAAGGTGCTGATTTTGACCTTTAAAGTCCTTCATGGCATCTGCTCAGAATACTTGCGACAGTGGGTACTACAATACACACCAGTGAGAATGCTCAGGGAAAGGCTGGTGTTGACTAATTTCCATGCTTCATTCAGGTTAAAGGTTTTCAGAGAGGCGTCCTTTCCGGGAGTGGCACCACTCCTTTGGAATGCCCTTCCAGGGGAAATTATAGCAATGCACTCTCTGTTGGAGTTTAAGAGGAGCCTTAAAACCTGTATTTTTAAGGAAGCCTTTGACTGACTCGGGACTTACAAAGTAGAGGAAGAACTAGGACTGTATGATGTATTAGGGGTGGTTTTAAATTTGTAATGTTTTATTATAGTTTAGTGTATGTTTTAGGACGTGTGATAGCAACCATTAATATTTGGTTTAAAATGTTTTAACTTTTATTATGCATGTTTTATCCTCTGTAAGTTGCCTTGGGCCTTAAGTGGGGAAAGGTGGGATATAAATTTCTTAAATAATAATAATAATAATAATAGTCACATCGATCACTGCCATGCTTGTTCTGGTTATTAATTTGATTGCATTGTATTTTACTATTCATAAAAATGTTTAAACAATATTTACCATGATCTGTATGCCAGTTTTCCCCCAACTCCCTAATCCTAAAAGTTCTGTTGTTCCTGACTGGTGATGGAAGAAATTTACTGCTAGAGCAATCATGCGAACATCCAGCTTCTTCTAATGAAGAAAAATCTACCATTTTCCAAGTCAATCTTCTACTACTGATTGGGATATTTTTTCCAACCAATAAAGTCTAATATTCACTATATATCCTTTTCCTTATAGGTTGAATCCACTGATTCAGTCCTTATTCACGGGAATAAAAGAAAGCACATTTGTTCCATTATCTATATGGCAGCCCTTCAGATATTTGAAAGTGGTTGTCATCTCTATTTTCTCTTCGCCAGACTAAATATTTTTGACTTCTTCAACTTTTCATCCTCAGCCTTGATGTTTAAATCCTTGCAGAGTTCACCAACCAAGTATAAATCCGCCTATAAGAGTACTGCCTAGCCTACATTTAAATGCACATTTTCTTCCACAGGAAAAACAGCAATTTCGATAAAGGGATTTAGATGGGGAAAACAGCAAGAGGTAGCAAGGTATTTCTGTGTTGATGTAATTCAGGATCTCCTATGTCTATTATTTCAAAATTGCACTATATATAAGATTTTGGTATATAAATCTGAAGTTGTAGTCAGAGGGGGGAAAAAATTCCGAAAGTTGAAACTGTTCTGCTTTTTATTTTACTTATCTCATTTCTACATTGATGTTGATATCAGACATTAGCTTTTCTACTTGTGATCCCCTGCTTAATACAAAAGAAAACTGCTGATTTTAGTACCTAGTACAAAGTATTAAATATTGAAGACACTGCCCCCTTTTTTTACTATTCCCATGCATGAAAATCATGTTCACTTTCACTCCTCTTCACTTCTTTCTATGGAAACTTGCTAGCTGGTAATCCCTCCCTTCTTTTATATTTTGGATTTCCAAAATTTACTTCATTTGCCCTCTTTTTTACTCCTGCCATTGTCCATAACTCTATCTTCTCTTATTAGGGGAGCATGCTGGTAATGCCATCTCTCATAAATATGCCTAACTTTGAGACTTTTTAAGGAGAATATTGGTCCTTAATTCTTCCCGTGAACACTGGGCTACCAGCCAGGATCATGGGGAGATTCTAAATATACAATTCATCACCGATCATGGGGACGAGATTGTACATGGGGCTATCATAATTTTTATGATTGATCTACAATGTTCATGTCAACATCATATGCCCACTCAGTATACAGAAAAAGCACATACAACCAGGCTTTCCAAGAGAACCTCTACATGTCACAAGAAGACTTTGATGACCTCCTACACTTTCAAAGATGACTACATACAAGCCAGACAGCATATCAATGGGGATAAACAAGAATCCTGGCACTGATCCATGTGCCTGACACTCTGGTCTACGTTTCTTTCTTCAGTATGCATTTCCTTATCTACACATTTCCCGAACCACACTAAATTCATTTATGACATTAAGCATAAGCGTATCAAGTATTGCTGTGCATTTGAAAATTTCAGTGCTTGAATGTTTATTTCTGCTGCAGTGGTGGCTGCTAGTGACATCTGGCGGTGGATAAATAAACCTAACGTATTTATCTGAGTAAACATAATAAGAATTTGTCGTTCTAACACCCTTTTCTGTTTGTGCTAATAAGCCGGAAAATTCTTCTTATCCACTGAGCTATTTTTAGGATTATTTCATTTTAATCCAATGCAGTGATTAATTAGCTGTCTCTTACTTCTGCACTCCAACTCCTATCACTACAGTAAGACTTTAACTCAACAGTGAAAATTCACTCCAGTTTCCAATTAGAAGACCATACTAATGAGGACAGGAAGTATAAATATACAAATAAACACCCTGATATGCAGACTGAATAGAGCAGGGATGCAACTCATCTGCTTCTCCAGATGTTTTTGGGACTGTAACTCCCAGCAAGCCTAGCCAATATACCTAATGGTATAGGATGCTGGGGTTAGCAGCCCAACAAGAGCAACATCCAAATGATTCCCACCTCAAGAACAGAGCATTCTAAACAGATCCCACTGCTCTTTGGAACATATTCTAGCACAATGAGCTTTACCTTGGTAGAAAGTCATGAAGGCTAATTTTGGTGTAATGGTTTAAGTGTTGGACTACAAGTCTGAAGACCAGGGTTCATGTCCTTGCTCAGCCATGGAATCCTACTGGGTGATTTCTGAGGCCCCTTCCACAACTCTGTATAAAATCCACATTGAACTGAATTATATGGCAATGCAGACTCAGATAACCCAGTTCAAAACTGATATTGTGGATTATCTGCCTTGATATTCTGGGTTATATGACTGGATAGAAGGGCCCCAAATGAGTCACACACTCTCAACCCCAGAAAATCCTGTGATAGATTCCTCTTAGAGCTGCTGTATGTTGGAAATGACTTGAGGGCACAACAACAATTTTTCACAGAAAATGAAATCCACCAATCATGGTTCTTAGGCTCAATCAATAAAGAGGTCATATACTAAAGGGGTGAATGGTGATTTTTGCTTCAAACCGCACGGCAACTGATTGTCTTTTTAGAGTCACCAAATTTGCCAATTAAAAATAGTTCCCTTCAATACATAGCCTTTTTCGAATGGCCAGATGTTTGTTACATCATGATGACATGTAAATTCATGAAGTCTTCCATATTTTATACATTTTAACTCGCATCCTGTATTTACTGTATTTTCATCTTTGTTCTGTGTATTTTAATATTTCATAACAATATGTTTTAAAATATCTATTTTACATAATGTTTTGTGATGTGTTTTCAACTATGTATGTTGTGCCTCGCCTCAAGCCACAAGGAGAGGCAGGTGAGAGTAAAATTATTACTATTACTATTATTATGACACAGTATCAATGGTGAAGCAGCACTTCAACATCTCTCCCCTGAATTCAGACCCCAGATTAGTCACTTTAGAGATTAGTAGTGGCACATTGATCTGTGATTTTGGAAGTGCAATCAAACAATCTGATGAGGTCCTGGCAACAGATATATAGAGTACACAGCAGAATAACAGCCACCTAGATCAGGAGATCTGAAGCCCCATGTTCAGGCAGAAAGACACAAGACGCAAATGCCATAGGACATTCCATTCTGTGCTATACTGCTGTTGCTCCAAGCATGTAACTGTTGTCAGGCTGTTTGTAGCAAGATGAAACTTTCCTTCATCCTCACCTTGAAGCATCCAATGATCTATTCTTCCCTTTGCCCTGAACATTCAGGATTCAGCAGGGATGATGCAACAGACCATCCAAATAAGTGGGCTATTGGATGCATCCAGATAAGACATGCCTTGAACTGCCTTGCCTGTTGCAAGTTTCAATAATAATGACATAAACATGAAGCAAAGTTTGGGATGTGATGAATTGCCTGTCCACCCTTCATCCTATATCTGGGAGCAGGACTGAGGTTATAGTTAGTTTTGATTAAGGATTCAAGACAATCATAAACTTTTTTAAAACATGAAATTCTTCCATAATATCCTTTGACAAAACCTGGATTATCCCATATTTTCCTAAGTGTTGTCTGATTGTATGTCATTGAAATTCATAAGAAAGATCCTCTATGCTAATTTTCTTAAGACTGTAAATTCCGTGAAGTATAAATGAGACTATTGTAATACATTTAGCCACTTGTGCTTCTAATGCAGCATTAACTGAGAGTTGCATAGTGCACGATACTCATCATCTTCAATAAGGTGACGTAATTGAGTAAATTAAGATATAAGTGGTGGTTTCTCCATTCTGAGGTGAAAAGCAGTACCCATCAAATTTTATGGGCATCTATAAAAGCCTTTAATAACTACACCTAATGAGTCAATTTTACTGCTACACATGCCTACTGCCCATAAATCATATCTTCAACTGGCCAAGTTAATTACTGTGCTTTTCTTCAGTCTGCTGCTAGTTTGTAAATGTTAATTCAGTTTTTTGAACTCTGGATACGTTCAGTGTTCAGCTAAAAATTATCTCACTGACCTTTTCCAAAAAGGACAGGATTGCTTTTTGCTGGTTCTCTTCATCGGCATTTATCTTGTGTCTCCCAATGGAAGCAATCAGCTGGGCTTCTTTTTCTAAAAGTCCACAGAGAGCTGCCTTCCGTTCAGCTCCAGTAAAAGTCTCGTTGATGCGTTCAAGTTCTTCTTGTCTCCATACTATATCAACACAAAGACAGAATTATTGATTTCCCAGCTACAATTCCCTTTATTTAGCCTTCACAGGACATCAATATAAAATGTGTCCTTTAGGTTAGCTGAGTGCTTAAGCAGTGCTGAAAGGGGATTATGTGATTTGTTTACTCTAAGCTTAGGATATTTGTTGGTGAAATATGTCCTGTGTTTCCTTTGCTTTTGAATACTTACAAACATTCATATCTATCCTTACTTATTCCTTTCGGTCTCTGACTTTAACTTCAACATATGAAGTGTAAATAAGGATGGAAGAATTATGTAAGAGTAATGCACATCTACAAAAATGTCTATGTACTTATGAGTGCACTCAATCTCTACAGTACATGCACTTTTGAGCCTCCTGATCCATTTCATACACAACCTATGGAAGTGGTGATGAATCACAAGTTAAGTCCAAAAAGAAAAAAAGTGGTCCTCCATAATCATGGGCCCGGTAACTATTTCAGTCGTTTAATTCATGTTTTCATACTGTTTGTTTCATTCGGATGACACGAAATGGTACACCCCCCTCTGGTACGGAAATATCAGTGAAACGAAAGGAAAGGGGGAATAGTAACCGTTTGGTTATCTGATTTTCGGCGCTTAACTGCAGGTCTTGGCAGACGCGGGAGCTTTGGGCTACAAGCTGCACACACTCTCTTTTTTCAAGGAGAGTGTGGGTGTGGCTTGCAGGCCCAAAGCGCCTGCGCCTGCCAGGGCCTGCAGCTGAACACCAAGAAAGAGGCACTCGGCACTCAGCTGCAGGCCCTGGCAGGTGTGTGCGCTTTGGGCCTGCAAGCCACACATGCACTCTCCTTGGAAAGGGAGTGCAGGCATAGTGTGCAGGCCCAGAAAACACCCACACCTGCCAGTGCCTAAAACTGAGGGGGAGTGTGGGAAGCCTGCCCATTGCCGCCAATGAGACGAAAACATTCACTTTTTCGGACCTGGTATGAAAAAGGTCATTTGGAAATGCACCTGTTTTCGAGAGAGGCGGTCAAAAATTAAAACGGGGCCTTACAAATTAAACAAAGAGAAACAAATAGTGTTTCTATACAAATACACAAGACTAGTTCTTCATGCCTCCAATTTGTTATTGTTGTTTAGGATTTTAACCCCCAGAAGTGGCAGCCAGCACAGCCAATGATCAGACTCTAAGTATTATAATTCAGTAATATATAAGGACCAATGACTGGGGACTACTATACTAGACCATGCCACTGTAACACATATTGTACCCATGCAGTCCTGTTGACCCTGGTTTACTGAGACTAGGAACAAGCCTCAATACAATTAAGAGTTTACTTTCTGCCATAGTCAGATGTGGGACCACTGTTCTCACTTCTGGTGATTCATGTCACAAATATCTTATCACCTGTGTTACTCTTCTGGCACACATGCTGTTAGGTGACAGTAGATTTGGGGCTGTACATGCATTACAAGATTTAGGTGATAGGCACTATAATCTAAAAACATCTGACGAGCAGCTGTCTTTTATTATTTCAGATCATCTTTTGGAAAAGTTTTCAAAGAAGTAGCTGTGTTAGTTTGTTGTAGAAGGAGGAGAGCTTTCTGGATCCTATTACATTCTATCTCACTCCCAACAACTGTGTGTGTGTGTGTGCATTATAGCCTGAGACTTCAATATCTCACTGTATTGCATCTGAAGAAATGGACTGATATCCACAAAGCTCCTGCTAAAATAAAGCTCAGCACTAAAGATGTTCCTGGATTTATTTACTTTTCTCTCTCTCCTTATTTCGGGAGACTTCTACATTTGCCATGGAGTTACAATGTCCAAACAAGAGAAGCTCTCAGGTTGATGTGCCAGACAAACATACAAACAAAAATCTAGATGTAAAGCACATGCCCTATGGATGCAAAGAGGGTTTTCTCCTTTTCATAAAGAATTTCAGACCAGTTCTCACACAAGCTGGATTTCAGCTAAGATATGTTCAACTGAGGTAAGTGGAAGCAAAACCTGTAACCTGTCCTCCCTACCAGCTTTCCACTAGCCCATAAAATACTATCAGGGGAATTAAGGGACCTTGGTGAATAGGGTAAAATGAAGTGGGGGAATGAAGACAGTTGGAGATATTTTCCATGTGCAAAAATATGTGAAGTCATTTCTTATACAGAACAGTAAAATACACTCAGCATCTGCTGAAATGTATGAACATTACATGGTCTAAAATAAGATTGCTATTTAGGCACAAATACAGATAAACAGAAACATCTGTATTTGCTGAGAATTATCCTTTGCAGCACCCCAGTGGCAGCTATTATTATACAATTCAAGGCCTGACCAATAATTAAATGTCCATTAAAATGAGAACAGAAAATTATACTGTATTACTGAAGCACTGGCAAAGGAGAAAAAACACACAGAGCAAAAAATTATCCAACAATTGGATAAATTTTCCAACTAGGTGTTGGTGTCAACATTAATAATTTCTTTTAAGAACTTAGAATTGTATTATTATGCACACAAAAGCAACAGCCAGAGGAGACAGTACTAGTGGATGTATATAATTTAATAGGTAAAAAAAAAAAAGGAACAAGAACCCAATGCTCCAAATTTCTCAATCTTTCTGATAAACGCAAACTAAATTACCAAGAGAATCCCCTCACAAATTCTTGGATCAGAAAACTAGTCTGCTTGCTTTTTGAGTTATACAGCTTCACTTCTTGCAACAAACATGATATTTCTCCTCTCAGGAAACTAGATGCAAAGATATATTTTTAAAATAATATGAGATAAACTCTTGTGCTGCATGTGATTAAGAAGTCAATTTCAACTTCTAAAAAATGTTATACATATATAACTGGCTGTCCATATATACCCTGCTGTAGCCTCCCACCATTTCACAGATCCTCATGCTCTCCCTGACACTTGTTTGAGTCATGTACTATGCCATTATATATAATGGGACTTATGCATCCACAGATTTTGGTATTCACTGTGAGTCTTGGAACCAAACCCCAGCAGATACCAAGGGTTAACTGTAGTAATAAATATGTATCTATGGAATAATTGTAATTTTGATTTAAAATGCTAAATGTTGAGCCCAAAACATTTTCTCAACATCAGCTGCTTGAAACAGAGGTTTTAAAAAAGGGATGCCACAAGGATTATGGTATAGAGCAGTACTTGGTCTGGACAGATTGTATGTCATCTCGATGTAACGTTTTGTTATTCCCGTTGGAAAAGAGTGAACATCCTCAATTTTTCTGTAAGTTTGAATTATATAATACATTTTTGTTCATGGGTTATAAACACAATTTCCTTATTGGTTCTATAATAAAAAAACATAGGAAAGTTTAAACTTTTTTTTTTTTGCAGGACATCCTGCAGCACATATTGCTATAGTTTTTCAATGAGTATCTCATTGAGCCTCAATCAATTCAACATTGTTTGTGGCAGCCACAAAAAGTTTCTGGAATTAACAATTACTTTCAAAGTAAGTTAACAACTACTTTCAAAGTAAGTACCACACAATTAAACAGGAAATAACACTTACCAGCAGAAACGGGGGGGGGGGGGAATCAAATTGTGTTACATAGTGTTGTATCTCCAACACATTTTGACCTAAAGCAACATTGCATCAAAATTTTCCCTTAGGCCAAATCCATCCCTCTGAGTTCTCCAGAGGACTGTACTTCCTTCCATATATTCACTTAGTAATTTCTCAAATTTTATATGCATATTTTTTGCATTATAATAGACTTGAAACACCTTGCAGATAATTTCTTTACTGGCACTAAGGCTTTTAAGCCAAAATACAAAAGGCTTTTTGATTTTACCCTCTTACTTTTGGCTCCGTTTACCAATGGAATACACCCCAGAACTAAAAATTTGGCTCTTGAGCTTAAAGATGTTCTCCATACTTTGGTATTTAGAGATTTTCTAAATTTCTGTTTGATAAGAAAGTGTACAGGCTATCACAAAACCATCTACAACCAAGTCACGCTGAGGCAAATACCATTACAAGATGTATAATCAATTTATATTTCTGTGTACATTTCACATGGAACTTTTGCAAAGTTAAGATTTGCTTAACTTTTTTTAAAAATGTGCATAGACCTGAATAGTATAGCAATTCACTTTTCCGCTCTGGGGAAGGAAGGAAGGAAGGAAGGAAGGAAGGAAGGAAGGAAGGAAGGAAGGAAGGAAGGAAGGAAGGAAGGAAGGAAGAACAAGTCCATCTTTATATGGTTCTGACTGTAGTTCCTTACAGTGCATATATTTATCCTACTACATCTACCATGCTGTTTGTTTGTTCCACATACTAATTGTTCATGGTCCAACTGAATGGTAACATGGTATTTCTGTGGCTGGAGCTTCCAACACCATTTTAAAAAATCATTAGCAGAGCTGGGACCACAGAGCGCCAATACACCTAAGCAAATTCCACCATCCCCAGCTGTTATTTGGATGGAAGAGTAAAAACAACTAGGCTTGCAGTAGTCTAAATGTTTTCTGCCTTAGGCTTAACAGCTGCTTTAGTAGTTGATCTGCATTGCATACTTACCATAGGGGCACAGGCATTGCCCTTTTTTTACATTTTCCTGTCCCAAATCCAAATCACGCTTCCCCTGCTTCGTTCACGTCTGCTTTTTTGGAAAAGGTGCAGATAGCTTCAACCACAGAACTTCCATGTAATGTCCAGTTTGGCCCTCAATTATTCCCATTGCCATCTGTTACCTTCTTTGTGACAAATACTTGTTTCCCCTGCTGGCCTTATATTGATGTCCATTCTTTTCTCTCTTTTTGTTATTAGCATGCAATCAAAAGGATGTGTGAATATCCCATAAGGTGGGCAGATTAATGTCTGGAAGTCAAAATAGCACTTGAATTAAATAAAGTAAATCACAAATCATTGTGATCATGTATATGTATATCACATATACATCTTCACAGGTATCTGGAAAGTGTGTGATTACTCCCATTTAGAGATAAAGAACTGAGACTGATGGGTAGCAAG